GTGACTTAGTCTGAAAAAAGGAAGCTACTTTTAAGATAGCGAGAATCATTCTGGCTTGAGGTTTTGACAGACTTATTCAGTATTTTGCGTCTAGCGTAGAGAAACAGAACACGGACGTTTGATAGTTTTGATGGCCTAACCTGTGTGGAAGGTGAGTGTCTTCTTCAAGGTTCAGGTAACACCGACAGATTACCACATCTTTCAACTATTATATGTGTTCTAAGGCAGCGCTTCTTAGGTGAAGTGTTATAATTACTGTGTCTCCATTCAGAGTTACATACAGGGACTTCAGACGTACAGAAATGAAGTCTCTCTTGTTAGCATTAGGGACTGTGAGCTCAGCAGGCTTGTGGTGGCAGATATGTTTGACTGTTTTAAATTAAAAATAACTTATTTATTGCTTAAAGTTCTACTTGGGGGGAAAGCGTGGTTTCTTAAGTTCATGGTAATCTTAGAGGGAAAAATAAGCAGTGTAACATGAAGGGCAAAGGTATGCTGTCATTGTTCTGTGTACCGGTAGAAGTTAATAACTTGTCTCTTCCTTACAGAGATGGCAAAAGAAAAAAAAATGTCTTCCAGAGAAAAATGCTGGGAAAGCTACCTAGGCTGTATGTCCTTACCTTTTTTAAGGAAGAACTGCATGTGACCCCTTTACGTATTAAGGGTAGGGCGTATATAACATATCTGAAGCTTCCTTTAGTTCATGGTCAATTTTACTCCTAGTAGTAGGAGTAGAATATGTGACATAACTCTTATGTTTGTTCTTACTAAGAAAACTGCTCATGTCCGTGAATCAGTGATTGCAGATTTCTTAAAAGGGAATGTGGAAGTGGAAGAGGACAACATTTCTCTGCAGGTTCCCATGTCTTTAATTAGTTTTAAAAAATCTCTTGAAGACCAGTTTTTCTGTTCTAACATCTTTTCAGGCAATGAGAGACTGACTATAAACAGGAAATAATGATTCAGTTGATGACAGTTTTTGAGTTACTGTCATTTGTATCAAAAACACTCCCCCTTCCCACCCCCCAACCTGTATAAAAGCTTAGCGCTATCTTTAGTTGTCGAGTTTTGGGTGTTACTGTTAACTTCAATTGAGAACGATCATGGATAGAGTTAAGGCACTCGTCCTAGTTCTTTCAAATGCATCGTAATATCCTTGATCGGCAACAGTATCTTCCTAACCCAGCAAGAACTTTATGATTTTGGGGACCTCTGGTATTTGCTATGCAGTATTAAGAATGGAAGCTCTTTCAGTCAAAAGAAAAGCTTGAGCAACTACTTGCCATTTCTCTAGCAGAATTACGGATTTTATTTTATATAAAGAAAGCCTTGATTTAAGTTCAATATTAGGTGTTACTATAAGAATTAATATCAGAGTATTCCTGAGCTACCTGTTATTTGTTAAGATTCTTTTTTTCTAATATGTTGTTTGGAAGCTTAGTATGGATTACTTCAAATGCTTGCCATTCCATTGGTTATTTAGTGCTGAAATTGAGGCCTGTTTTGGCGAAACTTAATGATTGTTTCAGGAATAGCTAATTTCGTATATATTTCTGGATTAAAACCTGAAACTTATTAAACTGAATTGAAAAGGGTAACTCTTAGTTCTGAACTAGGAAAGCCTGTACAGAAGGCTGTACCAAAATACATTTTTAAAATCTGAACAGTCCTTCGTTTTCAGAGAATCAAGTCGCTTTGATCCTGCTGTATCTTCGAAAAGCTTGGATTGTCTTTGGAGAGTTTAACAGGCTGCTGCTTGTACCAGAAAGAATGGAAACCTTCTGCAGTCTTGTTTCCTTGTGCCATGGAGGAGCTGGCTGCAGCCTTTGGTGGTGAAGGAACTTAGAGCATCAACGCTTGTCCGAAGTTTAGGGTGAAGCAAACATTAAGGTTGCCTATTAGAATTTAGGGAACCAGTATGTTAAAACTCATAGTTTTGTTTTCTAGTAAAGAAGATGAGGCGTTGACTTTTCCTCGCAATTTTTAGGTCCCTGACATCCTTTTGATTGGTCTCAGTTTAACACAACTGCATCTGTCTTAACTTTTTAGTCACATTCCCGTAACATCCTGATAATTTTTTGATACTCTGCTATTGGTTATTGTTTGCTTGTTTATTTATTTGTAGGAGGATGATTACTAAGATACCTGGAATTTTTTTTTTTTTAAGATGTACACACTGTTTTCTGCAGAATAAACTAAAAAACTTCCATTTTGCTGATCCATTCTATTTTTCTTTATGTTTTTTCCCACGTGTAAGTGGAAGGCATAATTTTTAGTAACCCTTGGACTCCAAACTAAAATAAAATATTATGTACTGGTTGCAGTCGGTGCTTGATTCTGTGTACAGATATACAAATATGCAAATACTTGTCCAGAAATAGTCATTTAAGGAAAAATGAAACCCCCACACCTAAACCTCAGCTTTGTTACCATACATAAAACAATTCTGGTTACAAACGGTAAATGGCCATGTTGAATGATAAACCTCTTGTTCTAGATCACTGACGTTTTTTTTTCCAGTTGAATGGCTGAATGCATTTTAAAAGGTCAAGGAGACCAGTTTAATTCTTAAGGAAGAGACTGTTCAGCTTGCATAACTAACTTCTGTGTTTTCTTCTCTCCTCGCATGGGAAATGGAAGTTTGAGATTGTGAGCAGGGCAGCCTGTTAACTGTCACTTATGCTTTATGCCTTATTCCCACTTATCAGTAATCCTTATACCATACAGTAGCTGGTGCAGATTAGAGCAGCTGCCTGTGTTTGAGGAGTGGGGGGAGAACCTAGGGATTTTTACTTGTGAACAGATACTATTTTTACAGCTTTTCTTTGGTTCCTTCAGGGGCTTCTCTCTCTCTCTCCAGCCAGACGCTCCATAAATTGGAGCCTTCAGCCGGTTGAGTTCCCATTATGAGTTTGTAGGATTCCCAGGAATAGTCCTTACTTTTGCGCTTTCTTTCTCATTTATGCCATGTTATTTGAGCAAGTGCTTCAGGGAACACTGTCTCCCAGCAACTACTTTTCAGGCTCTCATTTCATGTCAAAATTGCTTTTTTTGGGCACATGAAAAGTGTTAGGAAGTATCACCTCTCCCGTTTCTTCCCTTCCCCAATTGCTAGTTAAGACCCCTTAACAGTGCAGAGCTTGATTTTTTTGAGATCGCATGTTTTTCTCAAAATATTTGCCCTTGTAAATCATGGTTTAAAGTTTCAAAAGGCCTGCATGTTCTTGGATGTTTTAGTACTTGCTCCCAAAAGCATACAATCTGGAAGATAGATAAGGCAAACGATTGGTGGGAAGTCGCTTTGAATTTTGATGACATACTAATTCCTATTTTTGTAAGAACAGGAGGTTCTTCATTTGCTTTGTGATCGTATTAGTAATAGGCTTTTATAATGCTTCAGGAAAAGTGATGAAAAGGGATGGGGGTTGGATTTGGAACAAAGGTAGTTTTCTGGCTGACAGCCATTTTCACAAGCATGGGAGAAGGGTAACTTGCATTTTTTGTGGTCTTTATGTACTTTGCTCATGTAGGATACACAAAATAGGATAGCTTATCACATGTGATTCATCCTACTGGATGTTACAGTTCGAGTGTAACGTGCACCCTTGTTTCCTCTCGAAAACCTTCCCACTTTCATATGCTGAAGTTTCATTTATATACTACTTCGTTTATTATAATTGGCATAAATAGCTAAGGTTGGGATTTGGAGACCTAGTTATAATCTGTTTTTGGTGTATAACGGAGATTACTTCTGTTTCTCTGGGAATAATTCCTCCTTCCTCTAAGAGGACGGAGAATGGTTTTGGTTGAATGCTTCAGATAACAAATTCTGAGGGACTGAGATAAGAGTTTTCTTACTGGAGCTAATCACTTCAAAATTTGATCTTAGAGTTCTTTCCATCAGGAGGGAAAACCTTGAAAGATCCTGATAATGTTCGTCTGCTCTTTCAAATTATATCAGCTAGTCTAATAAAAGATGCTACTGCTCCTTCAAAACATTGCTCCTCTTTCATATCTCACGGAGAATAGCTTGCTTGTAATAGTTCAAAATTCACTTAGGTGGGAAAAGTGAAGTAAATTAGTCTTTGACTTCACGAGACCAAGTTATCAGGGTAGAGGAAAAAGCAGAATCCATTTCTTAAAGCTCTTTTCTCCTCTGGCCTGAGATTGTTTCAACGCTAGCTGTTTTGGAAACCTTGTTTCCCCTCCATCTGGGCAGCTCTGCCAGTGAAGCCTCAGTCTAGGTCAGAGGATCTCGGCTATCCTAGATAACCTGAGCAAAGCTGGCAATCAACATGCCGGCCACTAATCTGCCTTGGGCCAGCACAAATAAAATTTCACCAGCTGAGTAGGAAAATGTCTGGATGCTAAAGTATACATAAGTGTGGATACTGCCTGTGATTTACTGGGGAGAGATCACTTGCACAGCCAGGCCGTTGGCTCAATATAAATACAGAAATTTTGTCTGAGGTTTGAGAAGAAAGATGGAACTGAGAAGGCTCACTTGCTCTCCTGCTAATTTTGTTGAGTCCTGTAATAGAATTGGTATAAAACCAGATGTAAAAAAAAGACTGTCATGTAGGATTTCCATAGCTTTTAGGGGTGTGGTCTACATAATCATATAGCTTGTCATTTGCAAGATAGTCCTCTTTACTGTGGGTAAAGAAGACTGTTAAAGACACTTAATCTCTGTTTCCCTTTAGTTCTGTTACATTTTCTACTTTGATTATGAGTATACCTGGTGTCTTTTCTTCAACTGTGCTGTGAATACAGTGAATACTTTTTGTAGACAATGCTTCTTATCGCTGTGTAATTTGGTGGTCGGTGTTTGAACCAACCTAAGAATAAACAAAACTTTCCTGACCGCAAAGAAACGGGAGGAACGATGTTTGTATTCTTCTGTTTCTCAAGACTGCATGTTTTCCATGATGTTTTACGTAAGCATAGACACTACAGTTTCTTTGGGGATTCCATTTTTCCTGTTACTAGCAATCAGGAGGATGGAAATGGGCTTCACCCACTACGGCTACCCTCGAGTTAGTTTTGCCAACATGGGAGTTTCTGTCCAGTAAGATTTTTATCACTGGTTTGCTACTATCCCCAGTTGTGTGCATGCAGCTGCGTGTTGGGCTGTGCTGTAACCTGACAGAGAGGCCAACATAGCTCCGCAGAATATTTTGGAGAGGGGAAGGTAGGGAGGGCAGCAGGCTGTGTGGCAGGCATTCCTTATGCCAGTGCTGCCCGGAAAACTTCTTGCATTGTTGAACTGTAGGCTCGTGGGTGTCAAATAAAACTAGTCTTTCTCTGATGCTGTACAACTGTGATTGAAAGGTAGACCAGTCACTCCATTAAAGTTTCATTATAGAAAGTCAGAAAAGACGTCTCGGTTTTTTTGAGGCACATTTCTTAATTACTGACACTGAAAAAACCTAATTTTGAAATACTTTATTGACTGTATTTAATTGTCTGCAGCTTTTATCTGTTGCTCGGTGGGAACGCACGTATGTTTAAATGTGAAAACATGGATGTTTCATTTTGTATGAGTGAACAAACCAAAATGTTATTTGAGTGGTATTTATTTAAAGATGCAATAGAAAGAAGTTTTAAATTGTATCAGCTTCTCTCTTTCCTTTGGAATGTACTAGTGCCCAGAAGACTGTTTCTTTAATGAGAAAGCTCATGTTTTTAGCTGCAAAAATGTATGAAGATTCTTATATTTGCCTTTTGCTATTTGCTGGAACATTTTTTGGAATGATGACATTTAAGAATATGCAATATGCGCTCTTTACAGCTTAATTGTAGGGTTGAAGAGTTGGATGTTTTTCCCCCTGCAGTGGCAGTTAGTCATTACCGCTTTGTAAGTCTTAGAAAAAGCAGGTTTAAAGCTGGCTAAATTTTTCTTCCCTTTGTATTTCTTGGCCTCCAGTGCCATGTCTGTTAATTGAACTAGTTCACGTGTTCTGAAGCTAGGTGTTCTTTAGCTAGAACAGATGCGTTTCTATTTGTAAATTAGATGGAAAATGAAGGCCTAAAAGATTTTCTTCATATATAGGTAAAAGACTATTTTTGTGTGTTGCCTTTAAAAGTACTAACAGGTTTAGGGAAAGCAAGTACTGCAGAACTTCAAGAATTATGGGTTGTTCATCTGGTGAGATGTTTTGCATACCGTCTTTATTGTGCTTCTACTCCTATGTGTGTATTTTAAACATTGTAATTGTTTCCATGTTCCTTCAGTGTTAAAGTTCCTCTTTGTAAAAACGCTAACTAGTGTTTTATGTGCCAAAGTGTGTTATAATTATGCACAGGTGTGTAGTGTTGAAATCATGCCTTGGGACAGTGCTTCCTCCTGCCAAAGAAGGGCTGGTTGCAGTGCTCCCTCTCGTGTCAGGTGTGATGTGCTGGGCTGCCCTCTGCTCCGGCTGCCTTTGAACTGACATCAGGGCCATGCAGCATCTGCTTGTGCCTCCTGAGTCATCCTCGAGGAGTAGTACTCTGATCTCCTGTGAAATCTTCTGGTCCTACCTCTGCATCTGATGCTCCTTTTGTCTCTGTGTATAAACTCTGGTTTCAAGAGTGTTTGCTTCTCTCGTCTGGAAATTGCACGTTATCTTCCTTTGTAGGTAGTTAAGGTATATAGCCTCCTCTGGGCTCCAGTTTTGCCTGTACTGTATATTTGGACTGCTTCTTTCCTTTGCCTGCTTTCATACTTGTTACTTGTTAGTAACATCTCCTGGGGTTTTGTCCTAGTGGAGAGTGGGTGTTGGGTTTGTTTTGTTTTGTTATTCTTATTCTAGTCTTTACTTTTTGAGAGCGCCTGTAAGGAAGGTATAGACTGACTACTTAAATTGTTCACAGTTCAGAAGCATTTCCTCTTTCAGGTCAATACAGCTTCTTTCAGGTAACTGAGGGGTAGTGTATGATGTGGCTGGCTTTTATCTCATCAGCGCTGTATGTGGCTCATGCTCTGAAAGAAAAGTTGGGGTGACCCAGGCCCATTAGCAGCTGTACTCCCCACACCTAATAAGTAAGGCCAAGCCTGTACTATAAGCTTTTATGACACAGAAATATTGGTTGGAATTTCACTTTCAAGATTGATTATTTTATTGATGCTTTTTGAGTCTCCAGAGAGGAGCTGGAAATCGAGAGCAATTGCAGAATTCTATTTAAGAAATAGGCTCTCACAGAAATGAGAAATTTTACTTCAAAAATCGTATGCTGCAAAGAGTAAATAGCAGTGTGATAGAGGTAACACATAGAATTATTTTACAAAACTATGTTAAAGTTATGGTCGTGATTAATGCAAGGGAGATAAACATGAGGGAGATGCGTATTTAGATTAAAAAACTGAACCAAGTTCTTCAGTTTAGAAACTAATTTTCAAAGAAGGCAGAAAATAAATGTTTGCTGTTTGTCGTAAAGCTGCTCTCCTTACCTCTGCCTGTGGAAAGCCTGGATTGCTCTTTACTATTCTGAAACTTTACACTTCCAAAATTTGTCCAGTCATCTTATTTCCTTCCATAACTGAACAAATCTTGGCATGTTTACTTTCTGTAACTTAGGGGTTTTGGGGCTCCTGCTTAATCATTTTTATCCTATTCAGTAAACCGAAGCCTAATAACAGGATTGACAAATCTTCAGTGTAAAGAGAATTCATAGGTTACATGTAATAATTCTGAATAAGGAGAAAGATTTTTACAGCATGACTAATTTACTTTGGGGAATATATTATTTCAAGGAAAAAAGCACATACGTTACTTTCAGGTGCATTATGTTAGGTAAGTAGATAGGTGAAATGTTAAGCATAAACAGCGTTTTTCAGTGGAGATCAGAACTAAGGGTGTAGTTTTTAGAGGATCAGCACTTTATTAGTCTGCTTAGCTCCATCAGCATCGTTTATGTATTCTAGCGCAAAATCTTGGTGGAAAACGGTTTGGATACCACTCAGATCGGTTTTACTAATGACCTCAGAGCAACAAAGTTCTGTACATATTCTACTGTGGTTTTTTTAAATAACGTAACTTTTTTTTTTTTTTTTAATCTTCAAGCAAAACAGGGCCAACAGTCTCACAGAGTTTTTTTTGTTTTTTCTTTTCAGTGATGTTTTGGCACTGCCTATTTTCAAACAGGAAGATTCCAGCCTTCCACCAGAAAATGAGCCCAAACATCCACCCTTTCAGTATGTTATGTGTGCTGCAACATCTCCAGCAGTAAAATTACATGATGAAACTCTTACATACTTGAACCAAGGTTGGTATGCATGTGTTGCAGGCATAACTGTAGTGCATGCAGCTTACTGAATATCAGGATAACTAAGTTGTAGTAATAAAGGATCAGGGGTGATCTCTTCAAGAAATGAGAAATTTTCTGAAAAATTGAAGAAAGAAAATGCTAGTTGAAGAGAAGATTTGGGTATTGAGTTGTTTATCAGTATTTCTCAGGCTTTGGAAGTTTGAAAATAGATGTCCTTCTTCCTTCAGAGAAAGGAAAAGGTCGTTGTATGTATCTTGATGTATTTCAGGCCTAGAAGACCATTATGCTACATGTTTAAAAGTGCAATTATTTCATATTTTAATAGTTGTAGGTACATCCAAACAATCAAGCAGATGGAGCGTATTTTTAAGAACATAAAACTGTCTCAAGTCTAAGAAAGACAATGCAGCAGCTTCAGATAGTAATAATTGCTTAACATTCTGTCTTCCCGCTTAAACTTGATGATAGTAGGAAGTTATTTGGATGCTGTTTCCATAAGGTGGTTGGGGGGGGTGTTTCTGTGGAAACAACAGACATATACTAGAAGTTAACGTGTCGATTTCTAGTCAAAAAGTTAGTCTCACAAGGTAGGCCGCTGTAAGGCAGCTCTCTGAAGCCAGCTAGGGACACGTCTCATGTTTGAAACATAAACAGGAGTGCAGCTACCTTTGCAGTCTCTGTGTATTTACAGACTTATGTCTCTCTGTTGTTGGAAGTTAGCTAGATAGCTGTCTCCTGTGAGTCTCTCTGTTTTTTCTCATAGCCTGTGATTGACTGGCATGAAAATATGATTTCCTTTCCGCGCCCTGACACACACACACAAGGCTGTGACTGCTGAGTAAAATAATCTGAATGTAGTCACTGCTGTGTCATACATTGCCCCTCATCTCTGGAAATGGCACTGGTATCTTAAATTTAGTCAGTTAATATTCAGGGCTCAAATCGAAAACACTGTTGCATCTTACATTTTTTTGTACCATGCTGATTTCCCTTTTATACGTTTCTTTTTCTAGGCTTTAGCACTCTAAAGATCACTGTTCCTAGATTTTTTTCCCCCTTTTTTTTCTTTGTGGGCGTGGACCCAAGATCTCTCAATAGAGATGGCCCCCTCTGAAATTAAAAGAAACAGTCTTGGCAGCACAGTGCAATTATTTAAAACAAAAACAAAACAATGTACACCATTTCTTTTCCATATCTACTGTGTTTTGGTACAATGCCTGTTTTTAAATCATGTTTCTCTGAGCACTACTACTTCAGCGTGCAGTTAGGAGGATAGAGGTTAAAATATGTATTGGCAATTTTTTCTTGCTTGCATTATAGAGTTGATGCATGTATGTATTATGTGTCTTGTATTGATAATGTCTTCTTTCTGTTCAAGCTGAAAATGCTTTTCGTAGAATGGGCTTCTGGTGATGAATTTTTAGCGCTTGGAAGTGTTTAACCCATGTGCTGAGTCCCAAAATTTATGTGAGCAAATTGCATCTAATTTAATATTGATATGATGACAAAGCAGTATTTTCAGTTTTCCATGTGAATAAGGTCACAGAGTGCTTCATCTTGCTGCATCCAGTCTTTGTAAATGAGCCTTAAACATTATTAGACTCTTTGGTTGATGAGAACAACAGAAGGTCTTTAGGTGATTTTTATAACATATCTTGCAAACATATGATTGCGTAATTCGGCTATCTGCTCAGGTCACGTTTACTTTATTTTTTATCACTTCTTACACCCTGTGCGCTCTAGTCAGGAGCAGAAGAACAATTGCAGCAGAACTCTAGCCCAGCAACGTGCTTTGCACTGTCTTCACAACTTTAAATTCTGCAGAAATAGACTTTGTTTCCTGAAGTGTCAGGATCCAGCCTCCCTAACCAAGCACAAAGCTTGAAGTTTTGCTCGGTGTTCTGGGGAACTAGCACAAAATTGCAAGCTCAAGGAAAATTGTGCTTGTTGTTTGAATTCTGTGAAGAGCTTGCTATTTGAGCAGCACTATGTGAAATGATTGTTTCATCCGGTCTTGAAAATCTCTCGTATATTAATTTGTATTATTAGATTTATTTCGCAAAATTATTTTGCTCTTTTTCAGTATATTAGGTAACTTTTCCTGATGCTGACAAAACGATGTGTTGGTATACCCTTTTTCCAAATGCATGTGCAAACAGTCTTCCCACTTCCCTTTTATTTTAATGCTCGAGACAGAAAGACCGTACATTTGCTGCCTAGATTCAGGCTTTTTCCCAACAGTTTCTCTATTAGCTGTTAGTACAAACCTATAAACATTCGTGTAGTTTTGTGGTAAAACATCTTTGGTACTAAAGCTTTTTTAAAATAAGGATAGAAATAGTTCCTGTTCTGGTCACTTGCTGCCGTTTATAACTCTCTTGAGTTGTGCGGATACAGATGTTTGTGTAATGAGTTGGATGAAGTCCTCTAAAAAAGGACTCATTTTAATCCTAGTACTTCAGTTATCTGGGGTATAGTACAGCCCTAGTCTCAGGCTGCGCCTTGCCTTAAATCGTTTCAAGAGGATTGTGAGTAGGGGGCACCACAGAAAGCTGATATCCTGTTTACTTTTGTCAGCCGTTGTCTTAGTATACTGGATTAGGAATGCTGGAATTCTGCAAAGGGCATGTTTCCCCTAAGTCTGTTGAGCTGTGACATCTTCTAAGGGAACGCTTAGGTAAGCCCTGACTTTACCCCCTCTGTCAGTAAGTATTTTAACTGGCACAGCTCATATTTCTAATATTTCTGTTAAATGAGTCCATTAAGATGGTTTATCAGTTGTAGGACAGTGTTTTAAGCTGGCTGCTGTTTAGCTAGGTGCATATCCTCAGATAACAGAAGCTGTACGGAAGAGAATTGCTTCTAATGGGGAAACATTCATTAGGTTTGTTAGTTCGACTAGGCCAGCGGTTCTGTGAAGGCAAAGAGAATACTACAGTTGGGTCTTAAACAGTGAGAAATCCAAGAAAGAGTAGAGAAAGTAGCACATATATAGCACTCACTATAGAGATGATTAAAATCAGTGCTTTTCATGCTTTCTGAGCAGGTACATGTTAAAAATTTTAGAATGGAAGGTAGCTGTCCCTTGGATTGTCTCAAAAGCTCTCAAGGCTGTTTTTGTATTTTTACTGAGTCTGATACTGTTGATTTTATCTTCATCAAATCCTCATTCTTAATACTATTTGGTACTTATAAAAGGTTAGTAACACTTATTGAGTAAGTAATCAGAAAGGTGTTTTTTCTTTTTTTTTTTTTCCCTTTCAAAATAACTGTAAAAGAGAACTGAGAGAAATATTTGCAAAACTTTTATTATTAAGGCTAGATTTTTTTTTAAAAAACGCTAATGATGTGGATAAAGCTAGATGGACTTATATATAGTATGTCTCTACATGAGTGAAATAATGCTGGTAGCTAAACAAATCTCACTAACAGAAAAAAATGCTCTGTCCTGTTACATATAAGGAGAAATAATCGGTTGCTTCAGAATTGTGAGTGTTCTACTCTGCTGCTCTGGGTACGTTTGATTTTTATATAGACTTGATGTCATCAATATTCAAATGCTGCTGGAGTAAAGGATGCCTGTATGTGTAGCATATATACATATAAAGCATATATGTGTATATATACTTATACATACACAGCATTTTATGTTACATGATTAAAAAAATATCCCCATAGTTGGAGGTAACGTCAGTCTGTGGAGCAACGAAAGGAGGAGTTGATGCGGAAGTCATTTTTGTCTTGCTTGTTCAGTGTGCCTTACGGGAATAAGACAATTGGACTTTCACCTTGTAAGGCAAGCCAGTAAGCATCTTTTCAACGTAGCAAATACTAGAGGGTAAAGAAAGTTTGGAAGGTAGTACAGAAGGTAACGAATTCACTGCAGTCAGTCTTGGTGAACTTCTTGAAATATATCTTGTCCTATATCTTAATGAAGGAAAGATTGTTTTGCCAATGATTAACAGCTACTCAACCTAGAGAAAAAAAATCCTGTAGTTCAAATAAATTACTTCTGCCTTTCTCTCTGTTTATTGAAACAAAACAGTTAATCAAATGCACTGGAAAAACAAGTTTACTATTGCCTATTTAAACAAACTAGTAACTAGCTTTCTCAAAGTGTTATTTCCAAAATCATAGCAAGCCTGAAAATCATACAAAGGCAGCAGATACTTGAGCGAAATTAAACGTGGAAGAGTAACACGAGTCGTTTGCATGAACGGTATAACAACTCATTTCTTGCAGTCAGCATTGTTTCACAGGACCAACCTCTGTTTTCTCATATGTGGCCTTTCATCAGTTTCAAAAATAAAGGAACTCAACTTTTAAGGTGATGTTCTTGTGTACTGGATATAAACCAAAAGCTAATTTAGGTGTGTTGAACACGAGATGGCTTTGTGCTTTAACTGTTCTATTGATACGACCGTTTTTCTCTTCAAAGGTCAGTCCTATGAAATACGGATGCTAGATAACCGGAAAGCTGGAGACATACCAGAGATCAATGGAAAACTGGTGAAGGTGAACTGAAGTTCTCTAGATAGTGTTACTAACAAACCTCTGCTGGTTGCATATGAAAACAGTAGTTTTTAACCTTTTGTTGTACTCTGATTCATGGAGGCGGGTGGGAAAAAGTGACGAGCTGATCTGACCAATAAAGAAAACGGGCACAGTGGAAGCTAATGCTTAGTTTTGTTGTTTTATTTCAGGTTTACTACCAATTAAAAGAATATACATGTATGCATGTCCCCATTTATGAATGGGTTCATTTCATGTAACTTTAGATAACTAAAGGTGAGATAATCACTTCATGTACCATTTATGAGGTCTACAGTCTGATCTATTTTAAGATGAGCTGTATCTTCCCTGAACGTGCCCATTTCTTTCTGCTGAGTAAGGTCGTGGTAACAGCCTTGACCTCAAGTTGAGATATCTAAAGTTAGGTGAGATAAATCCAATCCAGAGACTGAACATTTTGTAGTTTTTTTTCTGCTGTCATTAGATACTTGTTTGGAATGACTGTTGGCCAGTGATATATTAAAATATGGATGCATCTGAATATGAATACCCAATGCATAGAGTACTCTTGTATGTGTGTATGAAAGAATGATTTCATGCACAGCTTAATATATCTCAATTTCTATAGATTTGTATCCAGCCTCTTCTGAGCCATTTTTTTTTTCCATTTCAAGGGATTAGGAGATATGGAAGGAAGCTAGAGATTAATTTAGGAAGAAGTGGAGGTATTGTGAGCATGTTTTTGTGAGCGCTGGTGTCACGGAAGACACATGGAGACAACCTGTGGTTTTTGCAGCAGTGGGATATTGACGCATAGGAGACACATCCACTAGAAAGCAGACCTCTCCAGTTCTGCTGCTGCTCATTGAAGAGTTTGTTCCATAGCTGAACTCCTGTTCCTAATTTCAGATTCCTGTCCTTATGTTTTAATGTTAGCAGGAGGTTCTGTGGATCTGAGGTACTGCACTCAATGTAAGAATGAGGCAGACTGAAAAACATCCACTTCAGCAGACAATTAAATTATTAAAAGACTGGTGGAGAAAAATGAACTTTTCTCTTAAATACCTGAGAATTTTCTCAAATTTTCAGAAAAATCTTACTCCTGTTTTCTATTGGCGAAGAAGGGAAAAATGTTTCAATTAGTTACTTTTACAGTTGCACTGAAAAGTACATCAGAATGTTGTGCCTGTGGGAAACTGAGTCTTTACGTGTCAACTTTTGGCTCCATCAGTTCTGAAATCTGGCTGGCTTATATAGTCCTATGTCTTACTCTTATTTATTTGTTGGATGCATGTTCAGAGATAATTTCAGGAAATGTTAAACACGCCTGGAAAACGGATTTGTGAGCTCTGCAATTAAAACTTTATTACCTGGCCTGCTGTCTTGCTGTTGTAGTAAACATGTTGTTATTTTGCCCCTTTATATACTATTACCTTACCGTTCTGAGGAATCGCTATGCTGTACTTTTATTGGTTCATATATCAGTGATGAGCCAGCTGGTAGGCAGATTAGGACAAAGCAGCATAAAAGTTGAAAAAAGTAAATCTTAGTGTAGCACCAAGAAACTCTCCGTCTCAGACAGTTACAGACTGTAATCCTGGTACTTTCAGAAACAAGTTATTTCATGTTGTTGGAAGTGGCTGCAGATATTTCACGTTCCAAACACGTTAAACAGTGTGCAGTGCAAAAGGCCTGGGGTGGGTGTATGAGCACGTGCACTTTAAAAGCTCTTTGAAATAAAACCGAGGAAATGTAATACATCTTGAAGAGGCATTTCATTTTGAAATTGTGATGGGGGGGGGGGCATTTTTACCACTGTTATTACAAGTAATACTGTAGACTGATGAGAAGAAATAAGACATTTTAAATGTTTATCTACGTTTTGTTCATTTAGTAGCAATTCATGTATATTTTTTTCCTTTGTATAATACATTCCTTTGCTTTGTATGTGCATTCACGCAGCAGGATCAAAACATTTCTTTCTTACAACTGTAAGAGCGCAGTTGTAGCAGAGCTGGTCACAAATATGGGTATTGTTGGATAATTTCTGCTAGCTGAAAAGCTAATGGTGTCCTTGCATTTTTAATGAATATTTCAGCTAGAATAGTTGGAATATTTTGCAAGATATTTTTATTACTTCTTACTATTAATTGAAATCATAGATTTATTGTAAATATGTTTACTAGGAAGGAGTTTTCTATTCCTTAAAACAGTTTACAATAATTCACAAAATTTCTGAGGAAAACAAAATTGTCAAACTACAGTCACTGTCTTTCCAAATAAATGAAGTCTTGTGTGTGTGTTTTCTAAAACAAGTCCTTTTTGCCCACACAGTCTTGATACTGTGCTGTCAGTCTTACTCTTTTCACCGCAAGTAATTTATAACAACCTTTAGAATATTCAATAAGATGTAATTTCCTTCTGCGTTTTTAGCACGTTTTCAAACATCTCCTGCTGTTCAGTTCTATTTCTGTGTTTTAGAATGTTTTGGGATACTGATAGTTGCCAAGTTTTCTGCTGTGAATGTGTTTTTATCAGCAGTATGGCTGTTTTGGAATGCTTTAGTGCCTTACCATCAGGCTATTTCTTAGGATGTAGTAACTTCATGGCTCATCTGTTGATGTTTTCTTCTTTCTTAAGAGTATTATAAGAGTGGTGTTCCATGACAGAAGGTTGCAATATACAGAGCACCAGCAATTAGAAGGTTGGAAGTGGAACCGCCCTGGGGACAGACTTCTGGACTTAGGTATAAATGTTTGTATCTGTTGGCCATTATATGAAATTCAAATTCCAAGTTTAAATAGGTTATGGTCATATTTATGCTAGGGTTGATGACAAAACCACAAACCAGTTTCTGTGTGCCACTTTGTCATAGTGGGTATTTCAGATTTAAATGTTCTTACCAGATTCAGATCCCTGTAAAACTTTTCGTAAGCACTGCAGAAATAAGATAGTGCTATGCCGACTATGTTCATTTAGTATTCCTTTTAATTTTGATTACTAAATGGTATAGTAATTAGGAGAACACAGACAAAGTAACGTTCCACAATCTTGTAGACTGTGGAAATCGAACCAACGTGGTTTCTTTATTTTGCATAACTCTATCATGTTTGTGTATGCAAATGGAGGGAGATAAAACAAACAAACAGAACTTAACCCTTTGTATGCTGGGTTCACTTCAGATTTCTCCTGAGAAACTGCTGTATGGGTTTTATCTTGCTTATTACTAGGTCAAGCCACCAAAGCGCAGCTTTTCTCCAGTTACCTGTGGTTGCTGATGGTAACATTAAATGTCTTGTGTTTTCTTGAAATATGCTTATTTTAAAATATATACTTCTTATTTTTATGTAGATATTCCAATGTCTGTTGGAGTCATTGATATCAAGACAAATCCAAGCCAGCTCAATGCAGTTGAATTTTTGTGGGATCCAACAAAATGTACATCTGCTTTTATTCAGGTTTGAAACTTTACTTGACTGGGTGTCTATGCGTTTGGTGTCTTTCAGGTCACAAACAGTGGTACATTTACACTGTAAAGTTTCTCAGTCTCCTATTTGTGAGATAGCCTTTAAATACCAGCGCTGTAAGAAACACGGAACTATAACTACTATTATTTCTGTAAGGGTTCCTAGTTTGCTTTTCACCTTCGTTTGAGTTTATAAAAGCAGCTTTTATAAACAATCGAAATGAAGGGTTTTGAAAATGCTCGTTGAAGAGAGCTGTAATGGTTAAAATATCTAGTCGTGCCGAGTATTAGAATTAATGTATTCTTCTAAATAACTTGTCGTTCCGTTATTTCAGTTGAGACACCGCTCTCCTAGTGGTGTTTCATGAGAGGCTTGGCTTGACTGCACAAAATGGAACTTAATGTGCTGCAAATAAAGTTTTTAAAGCAAAATTTCAAAGAAGATTCTTATTTTATCAGTATGTTTGCTTGTAGTAGGATTTTTTTGATGTCTAGGACAATTGAATATGTTTGTTTTGGAAATTATCTAGATAGAATGTTCAGTTTTGCATTGGAATTTTTCACTTATTTTTATTCAGATCTTTTGCCTTTATTATGAGGGAGCAGTGTTCCTTACTCAGGCTGCCAAAATAGCTTAACTTCCAGATTGTCAGTAAATGAATTTAGATCTGCTGCAAAAGAAGACGTTTTTCCACTTAGAATTACACAATTACTAAAATATTGCCTTCCCTGAAGTGTGAGATGAGCCATTTAATATTTTTTTTATGCACTTCTTTAGAGGAAGTGATAACAGACTGACTGAAAATGGAACTGATTCCTATTATGCAAGCATGATTCACCTATTCTAAAGGCTGGAGAACAGAGCATAGCAGCACTAATTACACTTAAAGCTTTAAATCCCAGCCTGGGGATCTCTGCTGTTGCTCAGAGCCGTAGAAAAGAAAAAGATAATACTGTTGTCATTGGGAGCGTGCAGTATGCTCTTGTCCGTAGCGCGTAGCTTGCTTGATATTCCAGAAACATGCTTGATATTCCAAACAAAAGCTGGGAACGTTGTCCGGTGAGATTCATTACAATTCTCTGTAATGTTCTTTTTGCCATTAGCTATCTTCTAGGGGTATTTCTAGCTTAAAACTGAAAGTCTGTAGGCTTACGTAGTTTTGAAAGCACTTAAGGCAATAAAATACTGATGCCTACTGACTTATAGGAAGTTGGGCGTTAAACATATTTGAAAATACCCTGCTTTAGCAGAAGTTAAAAACTCTTCCAGGCAGCAACCTTATATTATTTTGGTAGTATTTATTACCAGTAACTCTGAAATTTATGCTAGCTATAATGCATTGGACAACAGCATCTTGAAAAAATCTCTACTGTGTTTCTGATAGATACTGTTGTCATCGACATGTATTTACCCTATGATCCAGTATGAGAGCTCTTACAGCAAGTTCTCATTTAATAAGAATGTACAATGACTTCAGGTTTTTGGAGACACAATATTTGTTTTGGGTTTCTTTTACATGTGGACAGGAAAAAAAAGAAGCACTGATTAGTTATGCAGCTTTGTCCTTGAATAGGCTGGATGATTGGTTACTTCTCCTTAGAAAATGTAGATGATGTTAGTAACGCATACTGAAGTAAATGCTAGAATGCTTTTGAGAGTGTTCTTTGTTTTTGTTTTTTTTATTTTTATTTTTAGGTACATTGTATCAGCACTGAATTTACCCCTCGTAAACATGGAGGAGAGAAAGGAGTTCCTTTTCGGATTCAGGTTGACACTTTTAAACAGACTGAAAATGGAGAATATACAGATCATCTGCATTCAGCTAGCTGTCAAATCAAAGTTTTTAAGGTAACAGTAGGAAAAAGATCCTTAATAAATCTCTCAAAATCTCTCCGAAAGATGGAGGACATCTTTATATTACTGCTTGACTTCTGAGATGAGATTTCAGTTATAAAGTTGCTTTTTTGTTCATGTACCTGTTCATTTTTAGCCTAAAGGAGCAGACAGGAAACAGAAAACAGACAGAGAAAAGATGGAAAAGCGAACTGCACATGAAAAAGAAAAGTATCAGCCTTCTTATGACACCACAATTCTCACAGAGGTAACAAAATAGAATTGCATCTCTTTACTGAGGAAAAAATACATAGATACAACAGTCTTGGAAGGGCTGGGGGAGAATTAGAGTTCTATACAAAGGTAGGCTTTTTATTTGACAAATATGTCCAATAAAAACAACATTAAATTTAAAGATTGTTTAGTAAACTTTATTTAGATACTCAATAGATGCTTTTATTAAAACACACAAAGGCTGAACGCTATTTGACTGACTGTACTGAACCCTAGAGCAAGTCTTATGGTACAGATCTAAAAACTTTGCAGCTAAAAAGCCAAGGGGGGGAAAAAAAAAAGGAGGGGGGGAATCTAGAATTATCTGCCAAAGTTGAGCTCCAGACTGTATTTTTTGGAGATACTGAATTTAAGGCCAGAGCCTCAGTAGTTTTTTACATTTTCTTTTTATTTAAATACCAGTGAGTTCTATACAGTTTTCTAAAGATTTCAAGTTTTTAAAAGGCTTTTAGATCTTTCCTCACTGTATAATGAAAAGAAATTGATCCAAATCTTTGGTGTTTGTCCAGATGAGGCTTGAGCCTATAATTGAAGATGCAGTTGAACATGAGCAGAAAAAGTCCAGCAAGCGGACTTTGCCAGCAGACTACGGTGATTCTCTGGCAAAGCGAGGCAGTGTAAGGGACTTCTGCTTACCTTTTCATTGTGCAAGATACCTTGTGCAGTGTTAGATATAGGAGAAACTTCCATTATATAAAGTAAAAATATTTTGATTGCTGTGGTTGAATTTTATTCATGTTTATGTATACCAATTACTCCATGTTTGTGTTTAGCAAAGGAATGCTTCCTAAATCTAACACATCAGATAAAATGTTGCAGAGAGACTGTGTAACTTTTCAAGGTCAAGAGTTATCAGTTTATGCGACTTTAAATGAAATAGCTTTTTGCTTTCCTTTATGCGTGTAATTAGTGGAAATAAGAACAGCACAATTTAGTGGAAGTGTTTTGTCCCATATTTCTACTTGCATTCAATATAACTTTCCATGTACATCAGTACTTTTAAAATTCCACATACTGTTGCAGATGGTTGTTCGTTAGCTGCTTCTCTTCCTTTAGCCATCTACATACTGTGCTCTAAGCAGCTTTAACACAGTTCAAAACAGTCAGCGCATCTTTAGAGCATGTGGATGCTAACTCTGCGCGTCCCCTTAAATGAATCTAACTGATACCCTGTACGCTTTTCCTCTCAAGGGTTAGCATTTTAGATCACCAAAGTGCTGTTTAAGGTGAAGATCAAGACCGTAGCATTTTTAAGATAAGAAATAATCCTGCATCTTCCACTTGGCCTGTTGAAACGTATGTAAATAGTCCGATGGTGGAAGATAATTATTTGACATCGTTATTTGAGCAGGCATTTTGTTTTTACGGTTCTTTCACAGCAGCACTTAGGCAATGACTGCCTTGCTCTTGTCCCTCAGACACGGTTTTGCATTTGTGATCTGTTAAAGTGATGTATAGGCTTTAGGATATAAAACTCTTAAATATCTGCCTTTTCTTTGTTTATGAAGCATGTAACAGGGGAGGGGGCGAGAGGGAAGCAAGCAGTTTTAAGTAAGATGGTGAGAAATTTCTTTTCCCCTCTGAAAGTAAGCACTGGACTATCTGAATTTACTGTTTACTCTTCTTGGTGTGTGGTGGGTTTTTTTGTTTGTTTGTTTGTTTTTTAAGATATACCTTTATATCTTTTATTTCTGTTCCAGATGGCACTATGGGGAAATAACGACAGGAAAAAATGGGATTTTATCACTTATATAGCATCTCCTTTCTAATACTTGAAGAAACTTTTGGAAGTGGTTGCTGGAGGGATTTTTACCCCTTCCCCCCCAACCCCTTCCTTTCTGTTGTTACTTGTACTAAAGAGAATGATTATAGCTTATAAGATGAATAACAGAAAAAGATACTTTATAAAGATGTAATAAATCCCTTGTCCAGAATAAGACAAAACGTTACCTGAAATTACCTGCTAAATGTTACCTGAAATTTGTCTACCCTGTTCTTAAAATCCTCCAAAAACGTAGAGTCAACAGCCACTGTAGTAGAAATGTCTTGAAATACTAAGCTTCTATGAATAAGAGCATTTGCTTTAGCTCTAGTGAAGAAAAATTGAGTGAGGACAGGTAGCAGCAGACTTCTATTGCCTATGCCAAAGGATAAAAAGGAAGGTTATTTGTTCATTGCTTGCTTCTTGCAAAATATTCTTGTCTTCCTTAAGGCTTTGCTTCTCTTAAGCTTTGAGCATCCTGATTGTCTCAGATTTTTCTTTGTACAGATAGTGCTTTCCGATCATGCATGTGATCATGCTTGGTTTGTCTCCGAATTCTCTGTAGTGGTCCATATCCTTCTTAATAGGTGATACTTAAAACTGAGCACAGTACACCAGCTGGAGCTTTACCAGCTCCTCGTGAATTGGAAAGATTACCAGGCATGACTGCCATGATGCTGTACCTGTATGTCAAGATTGCTTACTTTTTCTGTAACATTGTCATACTCTTGACATGCATTTGAATTGGGATGAACTAGGACCCACGGGTTATTTTGAAATAAGAGCTACCTACCTTTTTCCTATTCTGTAATTGCAGAGCTGACTATTCCTGTTGTGCCACTTGGTCTTAATAAAATCCTATCTTCAGATTATTTGTTCAGTTTGCAAGATCATTTTGAATTTTAATCCTGTATTATGAAACGCTCCTAACCTTGCTAATTTGGTATCATCAGATTTAACACATGGTCTGTTCCACCACAATGATGATTTTTTTGTCATTAGCGAAAATATTAAAAAGTACCAGGTCCATGAAAGATCCCATGAAACACTATTTTTGCAGTATTCGTAGGGGAACCTTGGTAATTGTTATACACTGATTAAGTACTATTTTTAAGCAAGCTGTATACTCAACTTACAGTTGTTTGAGCTAGAAAAGAACGTCTGTTCTACAGCTTGAAGGCCAGTTCACCAGGCTTCTGCTCAGGCATGCTTTTTCTTAAGGGAGCCCTATAGATAGGGACAGGGAAGGCAGTGCAGGCTGGATGAATATTTCTACTTAGAGCAGTTCTGTCCTTGGAGATCCATCTTCCCACCCAATAAATCAGAAGGTTTGGATGTCTCAGACTTACCTCATATGTGCAGATCCAAGGGGGACGTATGTGCAGTTCAGCCTGCTATCAGGGAGGGGCTTGGACACAAAAACTGAAGTCATGTTTCCCCAGTTGATGTATGAGAATCAACACTGTTTAAGATATGAAGAATCTTAAACTGCAGGTGGTGTAGGGACTGTGCTTCCATTACAGAAGGAAAACAAGCTTGCTTGAAGTGTATTTTTCTTGGGAAATGTGTGCTGGCTGTTAGTTTTGCGTATGCTGCTTCCTAGATGTTCAGAAATGTTTTTTTGGTATCTTTTTCGGGAATTTCACAAATTTCGGTTGATCCAGCCTATAGTCTGCTTCCTTTTTTCGAGTTGGGTATTATCTTTTTCCTACGCCTAACCTGGGCTGTCTTTTTTTTTGTTCCTTGCCTGTTGTATCTGATTTTATATGTTGACCTTTTTGTTCTGCCCTTATAAGCTTTTGCTATCTGTTTGCTAGATATTGCTAACATTTCTTTTTTCTGTATGATTTCTTCCAGCTCACCTACGATCTGATTTGGACAAATTGGTCTCTTACCAAATTGGTCTCTTACCTCAACCAGGAAAAGTTGAATCTAAAATCATTTCTTTTCTAATTTAATTGCTATGGGATTCCAACATAATTGAAGGCGTTTGAAGCTTGCTTTCTCAAAGGTCGTTCTGTTCTTCTCCTATTCTTCTCTAAGAATCCGGATTTTCAATCACCTAGTTAGTGTTCTGTCTTTTCCTTCTCGTTCATTTTGATATGAATGCCATCTAGAAAAGCTTTTCCGTTATTCCTTTTCTTCACCTGATATTTCAGAATTTTGTGCATTCCCCACAAGTTTCTGCAGTGTTTATCGCAGTATTTTCCTTAGACAGGTGCATATTTAAACCGTGCATTAATGGTGTCTTGTTGTATGGAGGTTTGAGTCTTTTATAGGGAGGATAAAAGGCTATGAGCCTAACGCTACGTTCCGGACCTCAGAGTTGATGTCTACATACAGATGACCTTCTTCGAGGGGCAGTCTTATGAAAGACGCACTCTTTCAAAATCTCTTTCAGATATACAGAAACTAGAGCTTTCCTAAGGAAATGGGGGGGGGAGGGGGAAGTTCCTTCCCCTGCTTTGTATTTTGCAAAAGCAGATGAATATGTATTGTGATAGCGGACTCTTTGCACCTTTTTCTGTATTCAGTACTTCATTGGTTGGTGTGTTAGTCTTGCCACTTTTGTCCTGTGTGTCATGAGCAGGAATATGTAAAGTACAATTTTATTAAACTTGGCATTTTTTTGCAACTAGAGCTGATGACAGGACACATGGACAGGACACTTTTAACTTCTAGAAGTTAGAAGACTTCTAGATACAGACTTGAAATAAATGGGAACCTTAGGCTTTGCAGGATGAAAGGCTTGTGCAGAACTTGAATCTTTTCTGCTAGTTACTTAAAGTTAGAATACAAAACCTTCTGGAGACTACTTCAGTCAGAAAGTAAAGTTGGGGCAGAACTAATTTACCAACATAAGCATATAGTATTTCTTGGGCTTGCTTCTCTTTACATATATACTTCATATAGTAATATCAGTAAAATATAGGATATGTAATATGGGGGACTTCACATTCTGGGCATAATTTCTTTACTTCTGTGTTCAGAATAATTAAGTCTGAGCAGTTGCTTTGTGCTTTGGCCAAGTAGGACTGAAGTTCCTTGGGGCAAGAACTCGGTATTTTCTAGGTTTCTTGACAAAGCTCTGTGTCATGTGTAATCAAATTGCTGACCTGTCGTCTTAACTATAAAGATGATGCTATGTGCCAAAGTATGATGAACATATTTTGGAGAACAACCTGTTTTGTTTTGTTTTTTTTTCTTTTCCTTTTTTTAATCTTGATTTGCTCTTTGAATATAGTGTTGAGTTCTTTGGCAAAGTTTAACATTGCTCTCTTGTAAAGCGTGAATCTGGGCAGAGTTGAGTATTTTGGAAGTCTTGAAAAAGTTAGGAGCATTCTAGCTTTGAATGCTACGTATCCTGGAGTCTGAAAAATCATATTTCAAACAAAGATTTCCTGTCTTCCTTTTTAACTCAGTAAAACCAGTGGTCAACACTTTATAACTCCATTTATATCCCATACAGATGAACATGAAAGGTCTAAAAATAAAATAATTGTCTCTTTTTAAGAATTTATCAGTATTCAGAAATTAAGGCATAATTTCTGGAGCACTGTAGTATCAGTAGTATTGCATCAGTTTATTAGTAATGGAGGGCAGTTACTCTGGAGATCTCAAAAATAACCTGTTTGAAAATTCACCAGTATATATTCATAGTTCTTTATAGGCAAACATATAATTCCGGTCTTTTTCCTGTTCTCTGATGGCTCTTCACAGAGTTGAATGATTCCCTGCAACACAGTGGTACTATTCTCTTAAGTTTATGACTAGTGGCCTGGGACTCCTGTGTTCATTTCATTAGCTTGCTCAGTGTCCTTAGTTACCTCAATTTGGGTTTAAGAATGCAAGAAATATCCTGCTGGATTGGACTAAGGATCTGTACAGTCCAGTGCTCTGTCTCTGGCGGTGGAAATGGCCGATGCCATTCAGAGAGAGCACGCTAGTCTTGCCGCTTTCTGCGGTCCCTTTCCTTTGTGTTCCCCTAGTGCTCCAAACTGTCAAGCAGAGCTGTTGGAAGGCACGTCCCTGATTAGTCTTTCTAGTATCTATTAATGGATTTGTTGCCCAGGAATGTGATTAATCCGTTGTCTGAGCCTGATTGCTTTACAGAGTGTGGGATAGGTGTGCACACGTGTGATTCTGAAAGTGCAAGTAGATCAGGTTACTTGCTAGGAGATGCCTGAAGAATATATTCTGTAGCAATCGTTCTGACCCTTTTTTTTGCAGCTAGGGTTTCTCTGTTCCTCAAAGCTTTCAGAATTAAGTATCTTGGTGCTAAATTTATTTTTTCTCCAGAATCTATTAGGTAGAAGAAGAGAGAACTGAGCCAATGTGCATGCTGCCATAGTCACCTTTAATTTTATTACCTCATGTTATAAGAAATAGAGATTCATTTAAATTTATATGGTACCATATGAGGATACTAATAGGAGTGAAAGCAGCACAAAAACTTTTGAGAGAAAGAAGGAGGTTGAATTTATTTTTTTACTAACTGATTCAATCTTGGTGGGTAGTTAACACTTTTGCTGGAAGAGCAGCCAAGGCAGGAAGTGTGTTTGCAGGATGAAAAAGGCTGCTGACTTTGGGCTGGGACTTTTTTTTTTTTTTTTTTTTTTTCCCTTCCCCTGAAATGTTTCAAATATGCTCTTTCCTGTGTTTAAGCTCCAGAGTTCTGTTGTCAAGGTCTTTAGCTTGGTCTGGAGGACAGAAACGTTAACTGCAGTACCTGCCTTAGGAATGGCTTTTTGACATGGATACATTCTTCCCTGCCTGTAAATTTAAATTTAAACCTTGAAGAGAGTGCTTTAATAGAATAAGAGTTGAAGAGGCAGCACCTTGCATTTGTGTCTCCAGATAAATGTTTTCCATTAACGTTTATGGAGAGAATCTCAGAAAATTAAAGAAAATTAATTTCACTTTTAAAATAAATCAGAAGAACAAAGCTATTAGGCTGAACTTTTCTTTTAAAACTATGGTTTTATTGCACATAAATA